ACGTTGAACAGAAGTGGTGAAAGTGGACAACCTGGTTTTGTTACCAAGCTTAGTGGGAAAGCTTTTAGTTTTTGCCCATTGAGTATGATGTTGGCTGTAGGTTTTTCATATATGCCCTTTGTTATGTTGAGGTATGCTTCCAGTACGTCCTCTTTGCTGAATGTTTTTATCATAACTGGGTGTTGTACCTCACCAAATGCAGATCATATGAAATCATGTTATTTTTGTCTTTCCTTTTGCTTATGTGATTATTACGTTTATTGACTTGCAAATATTGTACCATCGATGCATCCTTGGGAAAAATCCCACTTGATCATGGTGGATGATCTTTTTAATGTATTGCTGGATGTGGTTTGCCAATATTTTGTTGAGGATTTTAGCGTCGATGTTAATCAGTGATACTGGCCTGTAGTTTTCTTTCTTTGTTGTGTCTTTAACTAGTTTTAGGATTAGGATGATGCTGGCTTCATAAAAGGAGTTTGGGAGCCTTCCCTTTTCTTGGATTTTTTGGAATAGTCTGAGAAGGACAGGGGTTAGCTCTTCCTTGTGTAAAATTTTCCTGTGAAACCATCCGGTACAGGGCTTTTCTGTGCCAGAAGATTTTTGATTAATGCTTTAATTTCACCAATTGTTAGTGGTGTGTGCAGGCTTTCTGCTTTTTCTTGACTCAGTCTTGGAACATTATGTTTTTCTAGAAATTTGTTCATTTCACTCTGATTTTCATATTAGCGTATAGTTTTTCATAATTTTTATATAATCCTTTTGTATTTCTGTGGTATCAGTTATAATTTCTCCTCTTTCATTTCTGACATTATTTATTTGGGTCCTCTCTTTTTTTCTTGATGAGTCTGCTTAAAGACTTGTTGATTTTGTTTATCTTTTCAAAGAACCAGCTTCTGGATTTGTTGATCCTTTGAATTGTTCTTTTATTCTCTATGTCATTTAATTCTGCTCTAATCTTGATTATTTCCTTCCTTCTACTCACTGTGAGCTTTATCTGTTGTTATTTCTCCAATTCTTGTCGATGTAGGGCTAGGTCGTTTACTTGAAATGTTTCTCTCTTTTTTAGGTAGGCCTGTATTGATAAGAACTTCTCTCTCAGGATTTCCTTTGCTGTGTCCCATAGATTTTGGACTGTTGTGTGTTCATTTTCATTCATTTCCATTCATTTCTAGAAAGTTTTTAAATTCTTCCCTGATCTCATTATTGACCCATTCATTGTTTAATAGCATGCTATTCAGTCTCCATGAGTTTGGATGTTTTTGAGTTTTTTCCTTGAGGTTGATTTCTTGTTTTAAGCCTTTATGGTCCAAGAAAATGCTCGTTATGATTTCAGTTTTCTTAATTTTGTTGAGGCTTTTTTGTGTCTTGCCATGTGATCTGGCTTTGAAAATGTTCCATGTGGATTTGAAAAGAATGTGTACTTTGCTTCTTTCAGATGATAGGTTCTGTGTATATCAGTTAAGTCCATTTGATCTAATGCATCATTTAGTTCCACCATATCCTTGTTAATGTTTTATTTGGAAGATCGTTCCAGTATTGACAGTGGGATGTTAAAATCCCCTACTATAATTGTGTTGTTTATATCTATCTCGAAGTCCTCCAAGATTTTTCTTATATATTTGGGTGCCCCTATGTTGGGTGCATATGTACTTACAATGTTTATGTCTTCTTGATGGATTCTTCCCTTGAATGTTATGAATTGTCCTTCTGTGTCTCTTTTTGTGGCCCTTTTTGAAGTCTCTTTTGTCTGATAAAAGTATTGCTACCCTGGCTTTTCTTTCCTGTCTGTTTGCTTAGAATATTTTTTTTTCAACCCTTCACTTTCAGTATGTGTAGGTGTTTTGTTCTGAGGTCGGTCTCTTGTAGGCAGCGTATGTGCGGCTCATGTGTTTTTATCCATTCAGCTACTCTATGTCTTTTGATTGGAGCATTTAATCCATTTACATTTAAGGTTATTGTTGGTAGGTACTCATTCATTTTTTCCGTTTGTACCTGAGTTCCTCCCTTTCTCACTCTTTCTCTTCATCTTTTTAAAGCAGTCCCTTTATCACATTTTGCAATGCTGGTTTGGTGGAGGTGTATTTTTTTAGCCTTCTTTTGTGTGGGAAACTCCTTTTTTCGCCTTGCATTTTAATTGAGAACCTTGCTGTGTAGAGTAGTCTTGGTGGCAAGCCTTTGCTTCTCATTACTTGGAATATTTCTTGCCATTCCCTTCTGGCTTGTAGTGTTTCTGTTGAGAAGTCAGCTGCTAGCCTTAGCAGGGCTCCCTTGTATCTTACTTACTGTTTCTCCCTTGCTGCTTTTAAGATTTTCTCTTTGTTTTTGAATTTTACCATTTTAAATATGATGTGTCTTGGAGTAGGCCTCTTTGGGTTCCCCTTGATTGGTACCCTCTGTGCTTCTTGGACTTGTGTGATTTTTTTCTTTCTTCAATTTGGAGAAGTTTTCCATCATTACTTTTTCAAACAGGTTTTCTATCCCTTGCTCCTCTTCTCCTTCTGATACCCGTCTTATACAGATGTTATTATGTTTCATGCTGCCCTGCATTTCCTTTACACCTCTTCATTCTTTTTGAGTCTTCTTTCATATTCTTACTCTTTTTGGGACCTTTTTTCTACCTTGGCCTCCAGCTGGCTGATTTGATCCTCTGCTTCCTCAGCCTGCTTTGGATTCCTTCTACTGTGTTCTTCAATTCAGAAATTGTATTCTTCATTTTTCCTTGGCTCTTGTTGATTGTTTCTGTGTCCTTTTTCATGCTGGTATAGTTTGCAGCAAGTTCTTCAGGACATCCTTGTGGTTTTTGGTAATTCTCACTGAGCTCATTAAGCTTCCTTAAAATCGTTGTTTTGAACTCAGTATCTCATAGTTAACTTGCCTCTATTTCATTTATCATTCTTTCTGAGTATTCTTCCTTTTGATTGGGGGTTGTTTCTTTGTCTTTCCATTATTTGTGAGACTTTTTTGCTTCTTAAAATGATGTGTCTTGATTCCCTGACTTTTTGCCGTGACCTTATATGGTAGGACACCTGTGAGATTCAGTGGTGTAGTCTCCTTGATCTTCTGACCTTAACACTCTTGGGATGCTCTTTATGCCATTTATGTTGGCTCTCTGGATGTAATTGGGTTTTGATTGTTGTTGGGTCCTTCTTTGGTGGGTCGTTTCCTTTAGCTGGTTGACTGAAGGTCACTCCACACAACATCTTGTGTGTTACTGTGCAGGTGCTGCCAGAACAAAACCGCAAAGGTGAGGAAAGAAACCCATACCTGCAAAAATAACTCTCCCCACAATTCCACTATCAACAGCAAGTAAACCAGTATTAATAAGGATATAAAGAGATTAAGACTATTATAAGAAAGGAGAGTAAATATGGATGACTTACTGAAAGAAAAATGATTTTCAGAGGGTACAGGGAGGGGCACTAATAATAGTTGGCAGTGAGAACAATGGAAAGAGAATAAGTAAAATTTACATCACAAATAAAGGGAATGAAGAAGGTGAAATATGCACAAATTTGATGGACAAGAAATGAATGTAAAAAAGTTACACGGTAAAGAAAATATTGCAAGTCATGGAGAAGACCACAGTGGATTTTGTCTTGGTAGTCTCTATTATTTACCACTGTTTTTTCTTTGTGGATCCATCTCTGGTGATGTCAGATGTTGTCTCTATCTGACCTTAGGCAGCGTGTTTGAGACTTCCAGGGATCTATTGTCTGTGGCTGTCTCCTTCAGTTACGAATCTCATCACTCTGCACTCAGCAGTCAGGCTTAAACACCCACAGGACCAGGGCAGAGTCCCTCCTGGCAGGGGGGCTACTGTTTCCTCTCAGGCTGCTGCTGCAGGGAGGGGGGTGGTCTGACTGAGCAGGAGGGCTGCTGCTTTATGGAGGATGACTCAGCAACGGGATCCTGGGTGCAACTCTCTCAGTTCCCTCCCCAAAGCCTTCTTGAGTCTCTACCACACTCCTTACCAGTCAGGTTGTGTTGAAGCTCATCCTTCTCTCTGTCTGAGGTTATAAGGCTCCTCTCTTGTTATTGTTCAGATGTTTGTTCCAGGTGATTTCTCCACAATTTAGTTGTAATTCCAGATTGGTCCTGGGAGGAGGTTAATGTGATTTCCATTCGCACCTCCACCATCTTGGCAACTTCCGTCACTTTTATAACTTCTGTTATTTTTTCTGTTATTTTTGTAGTTTGCAAAAAGATAGCTTTTTATTTGTTATTTTGATATGTCTTGTTATACTCCCCTCTACCACTCAATTTGGACTATTTTGTTCTGTTGTGTCTCTGTCATTCCTTTGGTTCTGAGCAGATTCCACTTCTAGTAGTTCTCTCCTCAGTGTTGGGCCCATTATGGGATGGTACTGCTAGCTGACTGGTTTTTGAGTGTTCTAGACTCCTTTACCCCTTTGTATCTTGAGTGGAACCCTTTCCCTCACTCCTTTTCAGTTACCATTCTCAGATGGTCTGCTTCAGTTAGTAGTGAACATCAGATGTCTATGTGCTTAGGTGCTCCTTTGCTCCTTTGCTTCTCTGAGCATCTTGCATTTCAGCTATGGTATCATGCATGAGTTTGGAGGGTTGATTGTTGATCTTCACCCATTTGTATTTTGATTTTCTTGATTGGTTGTAATTGTTGTCTATGCACTTTTGTTTTTGTTACCTCATTACTCTTTCTTTAAGTAGGGGTTCAGAGGCATTTAAAAACTAGAAGGACGACAGTGAGTTGTGGGGGAGAAAGTGAGGGAGTGGATGGATTGAGCAAAAAGGAAAAAAGGCTCATGTGTATGGACAATAGTGTGGTGCCTGTTGGCGGGGATGGGGCGGGAGGTAATAAAGGCACTAACTGGTAATAGAAAAACTACAATAAAAATTAAATAAAAAAGTAAAATAAAAACAAAAACTATGCTTTGATTGCTGCCTAAACTGGGTTTCCATATTGTTAACTGTAAATTTAATGAAGTTGATTTTTTTTTCTTTAAAAATTACCTTTACAGAGAAAAAGAAATTTGGATCTAGAATACCCATCCTTTCCAGGAAACAGTCCACTGCGGTTCAGAAGATCAGGCCTCAGGCCAGGGGGGACAGCTGCTACCCTCTCAGAAGCATGGCTCAGGTGTGAAGAAGGATTTCAGGATACTTCTGGGACTCCGGTAAAGTAGTTATAAAATTTTTTAGAATCTGAGTGTTTAGGCCACTGTAATTATATTTCCTTGGAATTCCCTTTCTTATTTTCCTTCAAGACACTGCCATCAGTATATTACTTTTTTTTCCTAATTTTGGAGTTTCTTTAATAACTGGCAAGTTAGTATTTACCTCTTTATGTCACGCAGAACCTTTATACTTCTTTGTATATGAAGGTTACCTACTGAGAATTCTGTGAGAAGAATGTTCTCAGAAGAACAATGAGCATCTTCTTCATTATAAAAAGTATATTTATGAAATGCATATATATGCAGAATCCTATGGCAGTGAGATATTCTGGTTAATTTTTGTAAATGTAACTTTAAGATGCAATATGGACGAATACTGTTACAAGCTAAATGTTAGGCAACTTCCTGTTTAGATTCAAGAAAAATATAAAAATATATTTATAAGTATATGGTGAGTATGTGCTTTGGGAATAATTGGTAAATTAAATAAAGGAAAACAGGGGTATATGTTAAGGAGGGAATAGTTAAGTTTTTGAATATTTTACAAACTATTGTTGGTTTTTAGCCCTTGTTATATAAACTACCACCATGTTGTTGTTGTTGTTGTTATTATTATTATTATCTGCCTACAGTCATTAGCAGCTGAAAAGAAGACTGTTACAGAAAAGCACCTTGAATTATTTGCTAATCCCAAGAAAGGTAATATTTTCTTGATTTCTTGATAGAAAAGATATAAGGATAACATATCCTCTATGATTTATTTGCTTTCTTTTAAACTGTTATTTATATAGCTTGAATAGATTATATATTCAGGGTTAAAAAACATTCAAACAACGTAATAAGGTATTTTTTTCAGAGTTCTCTCACCTTTTTTACTATCTACCCTATTTTTCTTGCTTCCTATAGGTAATTATTAAAAAGTTTTGTGTGTCCTTTCTGGGTTCACTGTTATTAACAGAGCCTGGTAGGTTAGCTCAGGATCATAGTCCCAAGGTTTTAAAAACAACTGATTTGCAAAATAAAATTATGACCTATACTACTTCAGGCAATGAAATTCTTACTTGGCAAATTAGGGAAGGCTTTCAGTTATAAATAATAGGACACCCTATTAGAGTGTTTGAAGAAATGGGGCTCTCTCTGAGGCCAGAAGTCCAAAGTAAAGGTATTGACAGGGTTGGTTTCTTTTAGAATCTTCTCTAGGCTGCTTTTCTTGGTTTATAGACGTCTGTCTTCTCCATGTGTCTTCATATTGTCATCTCTTTCTAAATGTCTGTTTCTGTGTCTTATTTCTACTTTTTATAAGGATAGCTGTTACTAGATTAGAGGCCATCCTAAAGACCTCACTTTAACTTGATTAACTCTGTAAAGACCCTATCTCCAAATAAGGTTGTATTTTAAGATGCTAGGTGTTAAATTTAATACATGAATAAATTTTGGTGTTAAACCCGTAACATCAGGTGCTAACACAATGACTGCCTCACAGTGCACACTCAGAAATGCTTACACATACCTAGTAACTATTGTTACAGCCTGGCTGATGTCCTTCCTGGAATTTCACTGGAATGGGACTTGATTTCAAGAGTAACCCTTTTCAGCAAATAAAATGATTTTGTGACTAATAAATTCCTTGTAGTGGTTTTACCTATATGAATTGTATAGTTAAGTGCCTGTAATCCGTAAGCTTATTAATTCCATGAATTTGTTATATAATCACAAGAATATTATTAACTTTTTTTCTTAACCCATTCAGGCTGCTGACAAAAATACCATTGACTGGTTTATTTATAAACAGCAGAAATTTTATTTCTCACAGGTTTGGAGGCTGGAAGTTCAGTATAAGGTGCAGAGACAGCACTCTGTTGCCTTTTCACATAGTGGAAGGGGCCAGAGATCTCTCTGGGATCTCTCCAGGGTATTTCTTTTATAGGACAGTAATTCCTTTCATGAGAGTGGAGCCCCCAAAGATCTCACTTCTTAAAACAATCACATTGGGGATTAGGTTTCAACATGTGAATTTTAGGTAGACACGTTCAGTAGGTAGCATTCTATCTCCTTTTTGATTTACTTTCCAGGTGCAAAATAAAGAGATTGATAATGTGTTTTGCAAGTAATTGCATAGTTTAGTTTTATTAGCTATTTAAATCAATACAAATTCTTATGTTATTCTGAATAGTTTAATTTTATATTTTGAAGGATAGACAATTTTAGTAATTTTAGGTATTCATGGTACAAAGCGTTCAGTAAATGATTATTACTATTTTATGTTTTGTGCCCTTGTAAGTGATACTGTTTTAGACATTTTGTTGGTGAATCCTTTCTGGGTCAACACAAACTGGCATATTCACTTTTTTTGTGCTACCATTATGCCATAAAATACCTCTTATGGAATATTTGATTATTTTTTCATGATTAATATTGCCTTTTAGAGTCTGAATTCCTTGAAGGCAGGAGTTTTCTTTGTTTCCTCAAGGTTTACTATTAGAGATGTTCATGAATATGTATTGAATGAAGTTACTTAACTTTTGTTTCTTCTTCTGTAAAACTTGAATTATAATACCTAATCTCTTAATCTCATAGTATATTGAAGTGTGGCTGAAGGGCTTTTCAAAAATTTAGCATTTTAGGTTAATTATGAACATGAGTAGAAAAACAGGTAGGGGTGCGCCAGAGTCATACAAGGAGAGACTGAGTACTGTGTGGCTTCCAGGTAAGGGCTAGAGGGACAGTCACCAATGTTCTGGTGCTGAGTCCTCCCCACGCATGGACCAAAGGCACTGTTTTCCCTATGTTTATTGCAGCATTATTTACAGTAGCCATAATATGAAAGCTACGCAAGTCCCCATCAATAGAGTGAATACAGAAGATGTGGTACTTACATACAACGTACTGTTACTTGGCTATGAAAAGATAGAAATCCTCCCATTTGAGACAACATGGTTGGAGCTAGACATTTTATAATAAATGAAATAAATCTGACAGAGAAAGACAAATACCATATGATTTCATGTACATGTGGAGTCTAAAGAACAAAATAAATGGGGGGAGGGGGACAACCCAGAAACAGACTCATAGATCTGCCAAGCTGATGTTTGGCCAATGGAAGAGGAAATGGGGGCCTGGGTGGAAAAGGTGACAGGATTAGGAAGTATAGATTGGTAGTTATAAAACAGGAGATATAAAACATAGTATAGGAAATATAGTAAATAATATTGTAGTAACTATGTAGGGTGCTAGGTGGATACTTGAATTATCTGGAGGATCACTTTGTAAATTACATAATTGTTTAATCACTATTCTGTACACTTGAAACTAACATAAAATAATATTGAATGTAAGCCGTAATTGAAAGATAAAATTTAAAAATATAAAAAAGTAATATAAGGTATCCTGATAATAGAACTTGTCTATATATTGATGGTATTAGTATCAATATTTTGGTTGTAATGTATAGTTTTGTAAAAATTTATCAATTGAGGAACTGGGGAAAGAATACAAGGATTTCCTCAGTTTATTTCTTATAACTATATGTTAACCTAATATTATATTAAAATAAATTTAATTGAATAAAAAGTTTTTCTGTTAAGAGTCTTAAGTGCACTCCTGCCACCAGTGTTCTTAGTATGGCAAAGCAGGTGCACAGAAGCACTTCAACTATACGTAAGTTCTGGTTTTGTAGTTTGTGATTTGCTTTGTTTTGTTTCTTGTTTTGTTCTGTTTTATGAAGTATTCTAGGAAATTATATAGCCCATAATTATGTGAAGGTTAGTTTTTTGTGCTCCAGTCATTTTTCTTGTCTTTTATAACTCCTTTCAAACAGTTCTCCTTCTTTTTCTTCTTGTAATATGGCTTTAATTTAAAGAATCTTATCCTGGTTGCGTATAGAATTTTAGGCAGGAAGATTTGACATAAGACATTGTCCCCACTGGCATTAGAATTTTGTGTATTTGTAACTTCATCAAAGAAATGTGCATTAAATCTCATTCTGATAACTGTAGGAGGTGATTGTTTTCTATGTACTTTCTTTTTCTTTAACAGAAACCATTACATCCAAGGATACCAGCGGGCTTACGGATATAACTTGGAGTTCCAGTGGAAGTGATGAGTCAGATGAAGGTAAAACGCTTTTTAAATTACCAAGAGATAATGGACGTGGTTCTAGAATAGACAAGTTTTGTAACAGGAATTTTATGTTTAGAAGATGGGTAAATTGATTATTGTGTAAGAAATCCAGTTTCTATGATGTATTGGGTTCAATATTGGAAAAAAATTACTTTTCTTTTTTAATACCTAGCATTCATTACGTATGATTTTACTGAGTCCCAGCCTCTAGACTAGGCCCTTTAGAAATATTTTCTCATTTAATATTTCTCATAATGGCTCTAAGAGATAGGTATTATGAGGAGTATTTTTATAGTTAACAACTTAAGTTTGAACATGGTGAGAATTGGTTTGGATTCCACTTTGGATTTCTTTGATGACAAAGCCAGTTCTTTCAACCAATTTCTTCATGCTACACCCATACTGGCTCCTTGCTAGCTTGTTTTGGGTAAATATTATGACAACCAATGTGTGGTAGAAGCATAACTTACTAACAAGTTTTTATCCTGATAGCATTTTATATTCCATATTGTATCCTCCTTTTGTTAAGTTAAAACAGGGTTTCTCTGTCTTGGCATATTGCCCTTGGGGCCAGATCATATTTTTTTGTTTAGGAGAGGAGCTTTCCTGTGCACTGCAAGATGTTTGGCAGTATCTCTGGTTTCTATCCACTAGGTAAGAGCAGCATTCCCAGGTCCAGTCATGACACCCAGGAATGTCTTCAGATATAGCCAGATGTTCCCTATAATGCAAATTCACTCCCAGTTGAAAACCGCAGAATGAAAATTATGGAAATCATGTCATTATACATATTTTAAAATATACGGGGGAAGGAGGCCCAAAACAACCCTGGAATTTATTTATAAGAAATTGTGTATTTATTATTACATGTTTAAACTTCAGTCATCTTCAAAGTACTTTTCATTTGTTGGAATATACCTATTGAGACATTTTTTCCATTGCTCAATCAGCTTCCAAACTCATTGATTTTGATGCCTTTTAATGCTTTTGCCATTTTTTTTGTTTTATCTCTCCCACATTGTCAGAACATTTCCCTTTGAGGACTTTTCCATCCTGGGAAACAAAAAGTCTCTCAGGGTGACATTGGGTGAATAGGGAGATTTGGGGCATGGAGGTCATGCTGTTTTTGGTCAAAAATTGCAGAACACTCAGCATAGTGTGGGCAGGTGCACTTGTAAATCACCCCTTGCGAAATGGGCAAATGCGTTGAAAGAATCTTCAAAAAAAATTCACTGAAGCTGAACACAGCCTCTCACAGCAACACCAGCTGGCACATACAGATGGGTTCTTAGAACACTCACCTACTGGGGGGCCTGCTCTCCAGAAGATAATTCTGGTCGTTTTTTTGGTCCCCCCCTCATATAGCTCATGTAAACATATATAAGTCTTTATGCTTTCAGAATAAACTTTGACTTTTTTAACTCTTACTTTGGCATGTCATGTTACTTAGTTCCTTAGTCAATCTTACCTTTGTACATATAGTTCCTTCAGAAGGTGATTACATTCTTTTGGCCAGTTTGTACAACATCCTGGTAACTAACAATTGACATTTTAGTAATAGCCAGGTGAAGTGGTTTCTTAACAATTTTTTTTTTTTCTTTTCTTGATTCTGGAGAGAGAGGAAAGGAGGGAAACATCAATGTGAGAGAGAAACATCGATTGGTTGCCTCTTTCATGTGCCCCCACTGGGGACCAAACCTAACCAAAGCATGTGCCCTTACCAGGAATCAAACCAGTAAGCTTTCAGTTTGCAGGATGATGCCCAACCAACTGAGCCACAATGGCCAGGGCTATAGTGGTTTTCTAAGATTATATGAGGTCTGTCCAGAAAAATTCCAGCCATTGTTAATATAACAAGAATGGTTTGCACAGCATTGATGTAACCTGGCAGTCAAGGAGAGTGGACTGGAGTGCACATGCGTGAACAATGATGACTTCACTGCAATAGTCAGTGGGGGCAGTAGACACTGTTGAGTGAGCATGTGTACTGTGTGGCCATCACGTTCAAAATGACTGAGCAAGTAGAGCAATGAATCTGCATCAAATTTTGCATTAAGCTTGAACATTCCTCCATGGAAACTATTCAAATGATACAGAGGACCACAGCTATGGGCAACTGGTCATTGGCATCTTCATCATGACGATGGACTCACTCATGTGTCATGTCTTGTGCGGTGTTTTGGCAAAACATCAAATCACCCAGCTAACTCAGCCCCCCTATAGCCCAGGTTTGGAGGCCTGTGACTTTGGCTTTTCCCATAACTAAAATCACCACTGAAAAGGAAGAAGTTTCAGATCATTGATGAGATTCAGAAAAATGTGACAGGACAGCTGATGGCGAATGGTGAGGTCCCAAAGTGCCAACTTTGAAGGGGACTGAGGTATCGTTGTCCTATGTACAATATTTCTTGTATCTTGTATCTTCTTCAATAAATGCCTCTATTTTTCATATTACACTGCTGGATACCTTCTCGGCAGACCTCATACATAAGCTAAATATTGTTATTTCAGCCATATTAAATGAAATTCATTGTTCTGAAACCCTTGGTTTGTTTTCCTGTATCTCAGAACACAATTTTATTATTAAAAAATGTATGCTTTTTGTGGATGAATAGTGAGGCATGAATTACATCTCAATTAAAATGGTATTAAAAATTTCTATATGTCCTGGCTGGTGTGACAGTGAACTGAGCACTGGCCTACAAACCAAAAGGTTGCTGGTTCCCAGTCAGAGCGCCTGCCTGGGTTGCAGGCCAGGTCCCTGGTGGGGGAGTGCAGGAGGGGCCACCACACATTGATGTTTCCTCCCTCTCTTTCTCCCTGCTTTCCCCTCTCTAAAAATAAATAAATAAAATCTTAAAAAAAAAAGAACTGTCTATGTTCTCTTGTATTAAAAGATTTTTTGTGTTAACACTCAGTAGTTTCCAAAACTTTTTAAGAATGAAAGGATGCTTTGAGCTAATTATTTTAAAATGAGTTAGCAATTGTTGACTTCTCTTAAATAACTTCACCACTACAAAAGAAGGAAATGATCACTTGGAGTAGAGCTATTTTGGGACACAATTGCTTGTTTAGCTTTTTCCTCTCTCTCCCTTTTTCCCTTCCCTCCTCTCTCCTTCCTTTATTCCTTTCTCCTTTTTACTTTTAATTATCATTTATCAAGTTCTTGTTTTATCTCTGACACTGGCTGGATATTATATATGTTATTTCCTTTGTTATCTACTAGAGCCTGTAAGCTAAGTATCCTTATTTTATAGAAGAAAATTGAGCTTTAAGAACAGTCAAGTCACTTGCTTAGATTCACATAATAAATGTGGCAACTAATATTCCGAGCCAGGAACGTCTAACTTTATTGTGGTATTCTTCAACACTGTTCTGGTGGTTACTAGACCTTACCAGAAATACTAGGTGAGCTTTAAAAACTATCCCCAAACCTTCTTTCAGCTGTATTGGATTAGAGTTTCTGGGCTTTAAGGTCCATAATTAGAATTTAAAGGAAAAATCCCTGAGTTAAAATTGTCAGTATTTTTCTCTTTAAAAATTTCTTTCTGTTTGCTTTTTTTAAATATAACTGGAAAATTCTCAACTTTCTGGAAACCCAGTTTTCTCACCTGTGAAATGGAAATTTTAGTGTAACAGTAATTGTCTTGTCTGTTCCATAAAATTGTTGTGACCAAATGAAAAGTCTTGTTAGCCTTGGTCGTGATAGATCATATTACAGCGCTCATTACATTGCTGTATAAGTATTATTCATCTGTGGGCTTGTCCAAGTTGGGAGCATGGTTCTGTGTTCTCGTGTGTGTGTGTGTGTGTGTGTGTGTGTGTGTGTGTGTATTTTATTGTGTCTCAAATGGCACAGTAGGCCCTTAGTAGGCACTGATTTTGTTGAATGAATGAACAAATGCCACAACAATGTACCATAATAACTGCAGTGGCAGGAGCTCCGAGGCCACTTGTGCTCTTCCTCTGGCTCTCCATGGCTTCCTGGTGTGATAGTTTAGCAGCCTGGAGAATTTCTTACGTGTTCCTTTGTTTAGCTTTCATGAGTGAATGAGATGTGAGGAAGTTATTGCCATCATGCATCTTCTTCTCTAAGACCTCTCTGACCTTCAGTTTTTTGTAGCTATTATAGTGGACTTTTACCTCATCTTCTGGAACAACAATATCTGATTAAAGAAGACTTATTTTTTGTTTACTTTATCTCAGAACAACAGTATCTGATTAAAGAAGACTTATTTTTTGTTTACTTTATCTGATTAAAGAAGACTTATCTTTTGTTTAACTTTAGCTTAAATTTTTCTTTTATTTTTATTTTGAATTACCTTCAGATATTAAAGCTACTAAGTTTTTATTTTTAATATTGCTTCTACCTGGAAGTGAGATTGTTGCTATCAGACCTCTGAAATAGGGCCAGGATATCTTACTAGCCCTCTTAGTTCTGAAGTAGCTGTAAAGGAATACTCAGGCTTTGAAATGTAGGAAGGTTTACGTTATATGCCGTACCTCAGGGAATAATTTATCCTTAATTATTCATTTTTTTAAGCATAGTAAATTAGAGTCAGTACTTTGGTTATTTAATATATGAACATAATTTAACTTTCAAATTAAAATTTTGCAGAAGTAGCATCTACATAATGCTTATGAAGTAAACTAAGAACTAAATTTATTTCATTATTGGTGAGAGAAATCTACACAAAAACTTTGGGTGAAAATCTTTGACAAAATCTTTATTAATAGAAGATTGATTAAATAAACTATGGCTCAACTATGCCATGGAATACTATATTACAGAAAAGAATGAGGGTGCTCCCTATTTACTGATGCTGAAAAACCTGTCAGTTATATTAAGTAAAAAAAAAATATCAGGAAAGACAAAATTAACGCCTTTAAACAGGTTGGAGAAACTCTAAAAATACGCACAAACAACTAATAAAAGTAGTTACCTGAGAACTGGAGTAGGATAAGAGTTCAGAGAAATAGGACGGCTAGCAAAAAGAGTAGTAGGAATATATTTTTCTTTGTCTTTTAATACATATTGAAATTATTGAGCAACATGGATCTTTTTTAACTATTGAAAATAGAAAAAGTAGATTTAAAAATTAATAAAGTTAAGTTTAAAATTGTGTTTTCTAGATGAACTACAGTTTGTTGACTGGGAGAGTGACAGTGACAGGGAAGACACTAATGAATATAATAAATTTGGAGATGATGAGAGTGCTGTGGATATATCAGACTCTGCTTCTTGTGCAAGCAGTCATTCTTCGACAAGTGAAGAGAAGGTATCTGCGCTTCCTAAGGTAAGAATGAATTGTTTCAGAATTTTTTATTCTGTTTATGGCATTTGTTAATCATAGCCTTTTGGTGTTTTTTTACTCCTTCCTCAGGGATAACAACTTTTGATTCTCAGTGGATTCTTTTGTTCTTTATCTCCTTATCTCCAAATAACATGCTTGTAATATACTTCTAAATATGAATAAATACGGAGCTCTCTTCCTCTTACCCACTACCTACAACCTGCTACCCGTTCAACTTTTCCTATGCCCTCTCCATTCTTTCAGAACAGATCTGTTATGGTTTGGTTAGATTAGTATTCAGCATTATATACTTGTGAACAAATAATATTTGTAAGCAAGGCAGGTATTAATTATGATTACTTTTCCTTCACAACTCTTTATTTTCCTTAGAGTTAATTATTTTGGTGTTTTGTTTACCTAGTTTAATTTTTTCACCTTTGCATTATTCTCCTGTTAAGATTTTTAGACATAGCAGGCACTTTATCAGTTTTGTTGTCTTGAAGAACTCCTCCCCACAACCTTCTAACTGCTCCAATTTCAACTCAGCAGCCTCTCTGCTTTGTGGGTGTTGCCATCCTTATGTCTCCATTCTGTTTCTGGGAATTCCCTTTACCTCCTATTCAGAGCATCATAATCCTGGATTCCATGTCTGCCTCTTTCTTGGTTTTCTTTCTCATTCTGATTGAGTACATCTTCCAGGAGCTTTCAAGAAAGGATTTGTGAAAGATAATTTTTTTTGAGACTTGGCATGTCAGAAGATGCATTTATCTCCTTTAATATGTGATTGAAAATTTGTGTAGAATTTTATATTGGAAATAATTTTTCTTCAGAATTTTGAAGCCTTCTTTGTTTTCTAGTTCCCAAGAGTTGCTTTCAAGTGCCTGAAGTGCCCTAGCTGGTTCTGTTGGTTGGAGAGTCAACCTGTAATCTGAAAGGCTATGGGTTCAATTCCCGGTCAGGGCATATAACTAGGTTGCTGGTTCAGTCCCCAATTGGGATGCATGTGAGAGGCAACCGGTCGATGTTTCTCTCTCACATTGATGTTTTTCTCTCTCCTTCCTTCCTTTCCTTTCTCTCTCTAAAAACATCAATAAGCATATGTTTGGGTGAGGATTAAAAAAAGAAAAGAAAATTGAAGAAGCCTGAAGTTAATCTCACTCATGATGTTTTAAGATTTTGATTGTGATTTGCCTAGGTATGGTCATGGGAGATTCTTCAAGAGTCCTTTTCCAGGGAAATTACACAGATTATGTTTAATCGCTTCAGCAGTGAGTTTTCATAACATGTGTAAAGTTTTGTCTGCCCCAGGAGAACATATTAGTGACTCAGCGCCCAGAGTTTTTATTGGGGGCTGGTAAGGTAGGCACTCGTCTAGCATGTACTGACATTTCGGATTTCAAGAAGGAAAACAGGTAGTCAGCATAAGCCTTATTGTTTGCAGAGTTTCAGCATAGGGAGCCACTCTTATTACTTAGGGAATGGTGGAAAGCCTCCTAAAATCTAGGTTCCCAGAGGTAGGCAAGGATCAACATTACAGGTAGGTTTTCGATGTATACTTATCTCAGGTTCTGGTGTGTTAACTCTATTCTTCACATATGGGTTTTGAGTTTTCATCACATTTGGAAAGTCGTTTGCCTTTTTCTTTCCTTTGGGGACTCCAATTATATATATTTATTAGGCTGGTTGATGTTGTGATATGAATCCTTTTTTCCCTCTGTTTTATTTTGAATGGCTCCTATGTCCATATCTTCTAGTTTAATATTTTATTCCTGCAGTGTCTAACTGCTGTTTATTTGTCATCTCTGAAAATTTGATATGAATCTTTATGTTGTCTATGTCTCTTCTTTCCACAATCATACTTTCTCTATGTTTTGAACAAATAAGGAATTTTATAACAGTTTTAATGGCTTTTTCTATAAACATATCATGTGTCATTTCTGTGTTTCTTACTGTTGGCTGATAGTTCTCTTCATTATAGGTTGTATTTTTCTGCTTCTTTGCATGCCTGGAAATTTTTGAGTGGATTGTGAATTTTATGATGTTGTGAATTTTATGTTGTTGGGAGCTGGATTTTAAAAAATTTCTTGAAATATATTGGGGCTTTTTCTGGGGTGCAGTTACTTTGAAACAATTTTATCCTTTTGGGTGTTGCTTTATGATTTGTTAGGTGGGTCTGGGGAAGTGCTCGCTTTTATGTCCCACTGCTGAAGTAAGACCTTCCTGAGTTTTCTATGTAATACTTTGAATTAGGAGCTTTTCCAGTCTGGCTGGCAGGAACAGGTACGGGTTTCTGATCTTCTGTGAACACTAGGCGCTGTTCTAATGCTTCTGGTTGGTTCTTTTTCTGGTCTAGGATAGTTTCTTTACATGCACATGCTGATCAGTGTGACAGAAAAGGCATTTATGATAGAATGATCTTACTTTCTTATTGTACTCTCACATTGTACTGAAAACATGCTTCTTAAAATTTTTTCTCAATATTTACTTACTGTGGTAGTTGCTTCAGTGGCTGAACTACCTGTTTCTGGCTTTTTTTTTTTTTTTTTAATCTTCACCTGAGGATATGTTTAGTGATTTGAGGTGGGATGGGGGTGGGGGGGAGAAAGAGAGAAATATGGGTGTGGAAGAGAAACATTGATTGGATACCTCCTATACACACCCTGACTGGGGATTGAACCCATAGCCTAGGTATGTGCCCTGCCAGGGAATCGAACCTGAAGCCTTTTGGTGTCTGGGTTGATGCTGCAACCAACTGAGCCACTTGGCCAGGACCATGTTCCTGACTTTTTTAAGCACTTTTTTCCTCCTGAGAAGGGTGGGATTCCTGTGCATAGCTTCACATCACAGGTTACTTGTCTTTATAATTTCAAGCTTTATTTGGTATTTCATGAGTAGGTTCTAAATTGATAAAGTCTCTAGTAAAGTTACCTTCAGGATTCCTTTTTCTTGTTTTGAATAAAAAAGTCATGGATTTGTTTTCGTCATAGATTATTGCTGTCACTGAATATTTAGTATTTTACTCTTTAGTTGTCAAAAACTTCAGTGTTCTCATCAGGAAATATCAGTTTCTGAGGACTTTCAGTTTGTTTCTTGGCTTGTTTTGGGGGAAGTAGTCTATGAACCAAGTATATAATTATCCTTTGAAAACTTCTGTAAATAATCACAAGGGTAAGAAAGACTGTAATGCTGCATGGATAGAGATACTGTGTGGGTGGCTGGGTTTACTAGGTAACTGAGAAACTGTTGCACATAGGTTTTGTAGTACTTGCAGTTCCAGTCCATACCTTGTTAAATTATAAGTTATAGTATGACACAGACTTTTTGGGGTAGCTTTTGAATAATAAATATATATAGGTGTAACAAGTGAATGGCAAGCATCCATAGTTCCTCAAAATGTAAATAATGTATCTCTGGGTGGTGGGGTTATTGGAGAAGCTTATTTTCTTTGTTATGTTTATTTTATAATTTTAAAATAAAACAAAAATGTAGCAGTCAATGGCTTTTCCCTTAAAGGAGAAAAATAGAAATAAATCATTTGCGCCTTGGCAGGGTGACTTGGCTGGGGCATTGTCCTGTGCACCAGAAAGGTTGTGGGCTTGATCCCTGGTCAGGGCACAAACTCGAGGCAACCGATTGATATTTTTTTCTTTCTCTCTCTGCCCCTGCCTTCCTTTCTCTCTAAAATCGGTAACATATCCTTGGGTGAGGATTGAACAAAAAAGAAATAAATCATTTGAACATATATTAGGCTTTATGTTGTACTTGTTGCTTTATGTATATGTATGTATTCATTCAAGCAACTCTAACAAAATACCATAGGCTGGGTGGCATAAACAACATAAATTGAATTTTCACAGTCTGAGGCTGGGAAGTTTCATGATCTAGGTGCAGGCAGATATGGTGCCTGGTAAGGGCCTGCTTTCTGGTTCATAGAAGGCTGTCTTTTCATTGTTCTCACCTGGTGCAAGAAATGAGGGATCTCTCTGGGGCCTTTCATAAGGGCACTGATTTCATTCATGAGGTCTCCCCTCAAAGACCTGTCTCCAAACACCATCACATAGAGGATTAGGTTTCAACATAAGAAATTTGGGGGGATTATTTTTCAACATATGATTAGTTTCAACATTCAGGTGAGAGCAGTACATTTTCCACTTGAACCTTAAAGCAATCTTGTGAAGTCAATGTTGTTACACCTAATTTTAAGACAAGAAAACTGTGTTAGAAAAAATATGTGATGTGACTGTGAGCCAATTACCTATGCAGTAAACATGGCAGCTGTGATCAAAACCTTACTGTAAAAGTACTTGGTATTGGCTGAATGCTTCAGAATCTTCATTGATTGTTTTCTCAAGTTGGAAGAAGCATGCAAAATAGGCAGCACTTTGAAAGATACAGTGATAGAAAAGATATGACTTAGGCTTGCTTTGTTATTTAAAAAGTTCAGGACTTCGTCCATGTAGTTCCTCATTAAGTACACTTGTTTCTCTTAATAAACTGATATATTAAAGCATCACACATTGCATTGTCATTGAAAAGTGACTAAAAACATGGATTTCTCCAGGCAGACATTGAAACACATTCCTATGTTATAGGAAGGATCCTTTTGGATTTGTGGTCTGCTTAATTACAGTAGTGTTACTGTTAAATCTTTCTCTAAACCACTTGCCATCCTGAATTCCATATGGGTTTTCATCTGCCTAATAACATCTGTGTGTATATTTTAAAATTACTGCTAAGCCATATATTTTCTTTTCCTTTTTACCCAAGCTCTTCCTCTTTGTGTGTTTTTTGGTCTTAGTTAATGGCTTCATTTTTCACTTTTTACTGTTTGAATCTATTTAATTATCAGGTCATGTAGATTTGGCTTCTAAACTACAGCATCCTCAGTAGTTCTGTCTCACATCAGCCCTTTCGTCTATTGTCTGTATTGTTTCAATTGCTTTATAACCAGTTTCTTAGATTATGTCCTTTTATTAGATTTATCTTAATAAAAATTATGACCT